GTGTGTGTGTGTGTGTGTGTGTGTGTGTGTGTGTGTGTGTGTGTGTGTGCGTGCGTGCGTGCGCGCGCGCGCGCGTGCTTGCACACTTAGTAATGTGTATTGTCTCCTCACGCATTTATTAATTTGTGTATTTGTTTGGGCATATTATTAATCAAGTGTCTAATTGTTTCTTGTTCTGAATTATTCTCTTGCGTGGCAGAGTGCTCCTAAAGTTCGAGTATTATGTTTCCTAACTTTTCGTTCTAACATATTCCATAAATGCTCTAGAGGATTCATATTTGGACTCATAGCTGATCACAAGAAAAAATATCCCGTTTTGTAACACTTTTTTAAAACACTATAACTTTGTCAAAAAACATCGTAGAAAAGTGATCAAAAAATGGATTTGTTTGGAAATCAATAAGCTTAAAAATTCATAAATTTTTTCCAGGCAGCCGACTTTCCTAACTAGCGCAATAGTTTAAAGAAAAAATTTTTTTCCTATTTTTCTAAGCCTGTTTTCAACGTCCGCCATTTTATAAAGTATTTTCGGAATTTTCAATTTTGATTTTCTTAGTTATCTAGGGAAATGTTCAAGCTTTAATTTGAGCTTAGGTTTATCTCGATATGATGATTTTTCGTAAAGTTATCGCTATTAAAAGATATTAAAAATTTGAGCTAAAATTTAGATGCTCGGTTTTTTTGCGGGTGAGTATATTTTATTCCACGTAAAAAATATTCTTTTAAAAACCGTTTAAACAATTCAAAAGTACATATGCAGCAAAAGTTTAATGTCATTGTCTTTTCAACTAATTTAAAATTTTATAAAATAGGTTCAATGTAATTAAAATGACCAATGGGATCATAGTAAAGCAAAAACTTGGCGTGCTCGGATTGTATTAATTGAAAAGATGTATATAAAATGCAAGCATGCTAGCACGAATCTTTTTTCCTTCTTTTTGGATCCCGAATCACCTTCCGAAGTATTGCAGGCGATTTACTGGACACCCTGTATATTATTAGATCATACGTAATTGGTATGGTTAGTTTGTGCACAATTAGTAAATATTTTATCGAAAGAATCAGTTAACACTTATACTATAGTTAACAGGCAATGGCAATAAAACGTTACAAATTAGGTAATCGACTGTAAAATATTCAAAATAAAGGTATGTTTATTAAAAGTGATTCTTTATACTTATTATTGAATCCGTTATCAATCACATTGTGAACGATGTTTCAAGACCGACGAATATGCGGCACGCAATTTGCGTGTGGTTGAATATTGTAAAAATTATTACACACCAACATCCGTATTGGCTCCCATAGGCCTTTACATCACTAACAAGGGAACCTCGCAAAGTGTCAAATTCTGATTTTAATGAAACTTGGTATACTTTCAGGTCACGTAAATAAATGAATTTAGATATTATCAGTTGGTGCTAAAAAACGGTTTAAAAGGATGGATCCACCCCTTATATGTAAATGAATTTTTTTTCTTTTGTTATATCTCAAGCACTATTCAAAAAGTATTTTATATAAAAGTTTTGCAGTAAAATTACCTCTATTCATTTACGGTAATAGAATTTTATTTTAATAATTATTTTCAATAATTTTCAAAAAATTTTTAAAATATAATTATTCTAAAAAAAAATTAACGTAAATGAATAGAGACAATTTTACTATAAAACTTTTGTATACAACATTTTTTGATATCTTAAATAATTTTGGGGATATAATGAAAAAAATTAAATATTGTTTAACTTTAAAGGATAATTTTAAAATTTTTATTGTATTTTTCCATCGCAACTGATATTTTGGAAATTCATTTGTTTACGTAACCTATGTGCACAAAATTTCATTAAAATCATAACTAGACACTTTTTTATAAAACTAGTTGTATATTTACACATATTGGTCAAAAAATGTTTTTTTTCATGAGAAAACTAATCATTTCCATACCACCTTGCGGTATATAGCACGGTTTGTTTATAGTGGTTTCTCCAATAGACCTAATTCATTCTTATTTTTTAATACATGAGTTATTCAAAATGTTGTCCTCCCACTTGACTAGCTTTTAGGATATTAATATTTAAATTAACATTTTTATCTTGAATATAATTTTTGAGACATAATACTTAAAATATTTTTATTTTAAATATAGTTTTTTAAATCTAATGTCTATAAAATAATGTTTTAATATCTAAACTAATTTTAAAAAATTTAATTTTTTGTAACTTTTTTAGATGAAAAAATACATATATTGCATTAGAATTACCATAAAATATGAAGAATTTTATTTTTTATTCTGTATTTATAATTTTCTATAAAACAATTTATGATAACAAATTATAATTGTTACAAATAAAAGATAGTTATTCCATGTGACAGTATTTGCATTTGCATCAATTTTGATATTTCCATGTTATCATACCATATATTTCAAGCAGTTTTTTAGAATGTACAAGCACATTTATTATAAGATTTATTTTAAATATTAGCAATGATATACTTATTAGAAATATTTAAAAAAAACTAGTTAATCTTATTATATTATTATACTAAAATAATTTTTATATAACAAAATGTTCACATTTATAATATTCTTAAAAGAAATGCTGCATACAAAAATATTCCTTGCACCAGAAACAACGTACTATAGCATTAACGCGTATACAGCTATCTTCTCCATAATTTCTCCATAATCTTTTTAAATATGCCTGGTTCAAGAGTGGATATATTGAAGAACGACCGCCACATTTCGAAAATCCAGTAGATTTTTGTTTTTCTGGAAAGGATATTCAAGAAATACCATTCTGTTTCACATGTGGTGCACCTGCATTTATAAAAATATAAAAGATCTATATAAACGTTGACAAGAAAATTAAAGAAAGTGAGAGAAAAGAATTAAAAATAGTTCTTTCGAAATTATCATTTGGAACTCGTCAAAGGATTTGTCATTCATGTATATTATTAAAATTGTTGCATTTAAATGATATTTAAGAACAAATTGTTTTCCATTTTAATTCATGCATTACGAAAGAATACATTGCAAAACTTACATGAATTTTGACGAGGCAAATCGAAAATATTTAGTAGAGAGATTTCTCTTTTCAGAGTACAGTATAAATTGTACAAGGTAAAGACGAAGTAATGAAAAAGATTTTAAGGTGTGATTCCTCAAATTCAAGACAAAAATTTTATATGATTATACGTCTGAACGAATTAGTTTCAAAGATAAGAGTATCAAAGTGAAAAAAAAAATTTTACTTTTATCCAAAATTTTTGGAAAACATTTGGGTTATTTTAATAAAGTTTAATTTATCTACATATATTTCAAGTTTTATCCAAATAATCCGAGTTATTTTCGAAATTTTTGGAAAAAAGCTGAATTTTTCCTTTAATTTTGACACCTTGTATTTTTGAAACTAAGTTATTTCGGACATATAGTTATATATGTATAGTTTTTATTTTGAATTTGTATGAAACATCTGAAAAATTTTTTACATATTTAATATATGTAAAATCATTTACATATAAGTATCTATCCTGTATGTATACACACACGCACGCGCGCGCGTGTGTGGTATTACAGGAAAAAACTTTTTGTGTTAAAATTTAATTAAAAATAAATTTGAATTTTCTTTAAATCGTGTTTTTATTTTATGGGCAACACCTTTCATAGACATTATTTTTATTCTCAGATTATTTATGTTGCAAAAAATCCAAGAGACGTAGTGGTCTCATGGTATCATTTCCAATAAACCAATACACATCTCGGTTTTCAGGGAACTTTCGAACAGTTCTGCAATAATTTTATGAGTAATCACAGAGTAAGTTTTGCGAAATGTCGATTGGACTTTATTACATTCATTTTATCTTTGTTAACGTTTCAAGAGTCTAATTTTCCACAATTTCAGCGTCGTATAGTCCACATTGGGAACATGTAAAGGAAGCTTGGACGATGAAATACAGAGAAAACATAATGTTTTACGAAGATCTAATAAAGGTGAAAGAAAGAAATTCTACTTTATTCAATTGCACAGTTTTGTTTAAAATATGTAAAAAGTATTTTCTTAAATTATGTCAGTTTGTCTTTTGTAA